GGGGTGACAGAGGGACACTCTAGAACAGAACCAGAAAGTGGCAACCAGATCTGATGTGTAGCAGTCTTTGGAAACAGAGAGTTTCTCAGCAATGGGCACGGCAACTTAGGGGGGACAATAAAAAATTGACATTTTTGAAAGTCTTTTATTTTGAAATTACACATCAGATCTGGTTGTAACCATAGACAGACAGACGGACGGACGGACGGACGGACAGATAGATAGATATTCGTTTTTATTTTGTATTAGTTTTTCAGCATATATTATTTTCTGTTTGCAAATGCAGCGGCTGGAAAGCTATTCTGAGTAGGTCAAACATGGACCGGATGTGCGCTTTTATTGTGAAAGCAGCACGTAAATAGGTGTACCGTAATGTCTTGAGTTACCGCGCAATTGTAGATTGTGCGCTGGGCCGGCTGGAGTCAGAGCCGGCTAGCTTTACCGCGGTGAACAGAAAGAMTAAAAACACACAAACCTGATGTCTGCAGCTGATGGTTGAGGCTGTAAACTGCTTTTATCTTGATCTTCATGTTTTCATCTTTAGCTCTGATCAAATCCTCCAGCTTCTCTTCTTCCTCTGTTTTTACCTGCTGTCTCCACATCTCATCATTTACCGAGCTGTTACAGCTCAATATAACTGAGTTCAACTCGTCTTACCAATCGACAGGAGAAGGACGTTCGCTCGTTGCTAAAAAGTGCGTCACATTACGTCACTACGCAGCTTTAGGAGACTTCCGGTAGCGGCTGGCCTTCAAAATAAGAGCTCGAACTGATTTTTCCTACACGGTGATGGCGGAAATGCTACGAGACAGGGGTTAGACAACAGTCAGAAAGAATTGTACGTGTAAGAGTCTAAATTTGTACATTTAAGTCAATAACCGTGCGTATATTTTAGATTTGTACAATAAATGTGCATAAATTTTAGATTTGTATTTGTTTTCATGTAAAATCAAATATGTTTTCTGTGAGAATACAAATTTAAAAGCTACAAACATCACATGTACGAATCACAAATTCACAAGTACAATTCTTTTATCTGTCAAAATAACAGACATTATGCATGGAACACCAAAAAGATCGATTGCAAACAGTAACTAAGCCAGACCACTAGGGGGACATGACCACTGCCCAAGGAGGTTCTATAGAACAGCTGGAGCTCAGAAACCAGGTGACCATGTGATCAGCTGGAGAAGCTAACAGCTAACGCTAAAGACTCTGGATTTCCCATCACTGTACATGTTGACAACAGAGCAGAAAAAAAGGACTGACCATGTAGAAATCATTAAAACTATTAATAATAACATTAACACAATTATTATTAATATTTTACAGTTTATATAATCTATTTAATGTTTTAAATAATGTCAGAAAAGCTGTTTGTGTTATGGATTTATTAACAGAAGATAAACAGGAAAACGTCTCATTTTACAACACAAGTCAGCAGATTTGATCTTATTTAGCTCAATGTGATCTGAGCAGAACATAATGTAACAGTTTAAAATTAAAATAATCTTATAAAGTCCATGTAATCACTGTTATTTATTGAACTGGTTAGCAGATATTAGCTTGTGGAGCATAAATACAGTTCACGTATCAACGTATAACTCTGGTAACGGCGCAGCACATGGCCACGTAAACATACGTCATCCATAGACCGTCCCAATTTACAGTCGTTTTATGCAGCCGACAGGAGCAGCCGACAGGAGCAGCCTACAGGAGCAGCCTACGGACCACGTCGACTGCTATCCGACGTCGACCGGTCCACGGCGGCTGCAACCCATGAATTGAGACAGAGGGGATTTCTCTAAGACTGCAAGGGAAGCTCAGCTTCCCATAAAATGAAAAAATAAATAAAAAGATAAAATACACACTGTTGTGTGTTCATGTCAATGACTAAATATGCACTACAAGGTGCTCAACCTTTGTTCAGAATCAGCTTCTTATCACTAGTAACGACGCAGCTTTCCTCTCCCTCAGTCCTGCAGCTTCACAGCTTTAAACAGTCGGACGCTGAGCGTCTACAGACTTCAATAGTGAAGCAAAGACTGCAGCGAAACGAGACGAGTCATTGGATAAATGCTGGCTTTGTCCCGCCCCCGGACGCTCAGCGTCTCTGGGGGTCTATGGAGCAGGGGGCTGGTTCGGACGCTCAGCTTCTGTATGATGATTGGATGATCTGTCTGAGGCTGAATCCCTTTTTGATTGACAGCGAAATGAACGAATCAGAGATCTTTTGGTGTAAACATTCAGTGGAGCAGTTTTTAGTTTTGTTTCTGTTCTGAGCTGAACTGGAGACTTTATTAAACCTTTTAGCTGCATTTTCTTTGTTAAAAACGACCAGTGACAAATCGAGTTTTTATTTCTGGTTGTTTTGTATCTGCTTGTGTTTGGAGACAGACTTCTATCACTCTGACGTCTATCACAGTTTCTGTGCATCGGGTGTTGCTGAGCTCGTCCACCGTCACAAAGCACTCACAGATGGACACACTTCACTCTAGCCTCGCAGTAACAAGCTGCACATAATGTCAGACAGTTTGAATGTTGTGGACCGGATTTTGGTGAAACCATTTGATAGTCTTCCTTACGAAGAAACACTTACAGCAGGGCTGATCAACTCCTCAGATTAATTTGGTGCAAAAAGTGGAGAAACATAAGATAAAAAAACGTTTTTATTGATCCCACAGTGGGGAAATAACAGGTGTTTTCAGCTGTCCTGGTATAACAGAGCTGGCTGCTGTAAAACACTATAGAATAATCTGGAAATGATTATAAAAGCATTGAATCAATTAATTCATTTAAAAAAATCAAAGCAAATTTGTCAAAGAAACATGAAATTGTTTAATTTGTATTTGTATGAGTCACTGTTTGAGGAGTTGAATTTCTTAAGTTTTGTTTTATGATTTGGTTTATTGTTTGAAATTAATATTTTTGTAAATAGGAGCAGATGTAAGATATTTTTCTTCTGCTGCTTTCATTTTATTTTATTTGTATTGTTTTGTTGTATGTAATGTTTTGTTTTTTAAAATGAAATGAATAAATACTATAAATAAAATGATCTGTGACAGGGTCACAGGTAAACATAAGTTTACCATAAATCTGTTTATTTACAAGCTGGATTTTCGCTGCSTTTTTAATTACTTTCCTTTGTGTTGGAATGATTTAAATGCCGCCATATTGTAGTAATTTTATTTGGCCACACGGTGGCGCCAAAGTCCTTTTCATAGTTTAAATCAGGGAAACGGCTGTGTTCATAGCATTTCACTGTAACTGTGCTTAATTTGAGTTATCTTTGTGTTTAAGTCAGGGGGATTGAATATATCTATATATAATTTTATGTTGTGGACATGTATATGCACAGACAAACATTTAAGTTTATTTTATTAGACATATTCAAGTTCTTGTTAGTTAAATGTCTATTGCTGTAATACATTGGGCCTTATGTTAAAATTATCTGTTACTACAGACTGCTGTTAACACTGAGCATTAAAGGGAAATAAACCTGCTGACTTCTCCAGTCAAAGTGAATACCTCCTGTCCTCCTTCCTGTATTCTGACAGATACACCATCTTGTTTGCTGCGAACATCTAAAGAACCTTTTCCTACAGAACAGACCTGTTAGATCCAGGTGGACACTTGTTTTTTGGCCAGGCAGAGGTATGACCTGTGTGGTCAAGAGGTCGTATGAAAGATGATCCTTCATACTGTACRAATGAGCCTGTATAATTCTGTCTACTAAATGATTAAACCTGTTATATTTTTATTGATGACAGTAAACTGACTGTAGAAACACATAATACAGCTGAAGTGTGTACTGGTGTAAATCAAAACCCCTTGTATTCAACAAGATGACAGCAGCTTCTTTAGTGAATTATTGAAGTTGAAACAGAAACAAAGTGTTTTCTTTAAAATAGTTTTATTGGAAGATTCATGTTCAACAGTAAATCACTGAATTTTGTGTTTAGATTCAAGAGTGAAAAAACAAGTTATCAACGAGCACAAAATCATCTGTAGACACATATAAATGTATGAATACACAGACGCAGACACTTTTTACACTTGCAGACAAAGAAAAAGACACAATCAGCTGAAACACTCCATGCTGGCCTTGGCTTTCTCCATCTCATGTAGGAAGYTRTAAAACTGAGGCAGCGTCAGCTCTAAAAAAAACATGAAGAAAAAACTTTTCATTGTTTGTTATAATGCATGACATAATGTACACACATCACATCGACACATAAACAGCCTAATGAAGCAGGAATCAGGTAATGAGCAGCAGTGCAAAAAACTGAATGGTTTATATAAACAACTTTCTTAAATACTTTTAAAAACAGTTCAGATCCGATCATCTCCACACGTCYTGGAATTCATTTCATCATTAAGATCAGGTTTTGTGCAGAAATTCGAGTTTTGTGTCTTCTGATCATATTTTTTTCAAATTGTTATCAAGTTTTGCTTATTGTCTCAGTCAGTTGTTTGTCTGTTTTAGTGTTTTTATTAAGGATTTAAAGAAAATTATAATCTGAATATAACCCTGCTCTGGAGTTTGAGGCACATCAAGCTAATCCGTCATCTTGTGACCTGCTACATGAACCTGAGGCCTGCTGTAGCCAGAGCTGTAAACTAACTAAGTACAAATACTTTGTTACTGTACTTAAGTAGAAATTTTGGGTATCTGTACTTTACTTG